TCTACTCATGTCATTGTGGGAAAATTCGACCTTAAACGAAGTATGGTGAACACATATCATATTACTGATTTACTGTTAGTCTCGAAACTCTGCTTATATATGAAGACCCTCTGCGTGTTTCAGAGTTTGGTTCCCATAAAGTCATGCTTTACGCTGGCTCGGTGTATATCACGACGGGACAGCTGAGGGCGGAGCATGAATGAATCGAGTCGGCAGGAGGACGTATCGAGGGCAGTCAGTCGAGGACAGTCAAACAAGCTTTTTGATTTCTGGTGAGGCCAAACTACGAGTACAGTTTAGCCGCTATTCAAAATGAAATGAAAGCATTGACGAGATGAAGAAAATTTACTCGTAGACATGAAGACCACGATGGTGTGGCCTTTTGTTTGGTCGCAGTTTCCTGTAGCTTTATAGTGTTGGATCGACCTTGTCTTCGCAACTTGGTCGGAGCGTCATGAAGATCTTGTGGAACGTATCTAGTCCCGTGTCCTCTGCCACGGGCACATGTTGGAAATCGCGAATAATATGACAGAGGACACGTGACTAGGTAGGTTGTACAAGGTCCTCATGAAGCACCGGCCAAGTTGCGAAAACAAGGTCGAACCAATACTAAAATACACTCTTGGTTTCGTTGGCTGGTCGGAAGGAAAGGAAACAATCGCCAGACTCAAAGGCTGCTGAGCAATGAAAAAGAGCTCATACGTCGTTGCCAGTGTGATTATCTGTGGTGCTTGCCGCTTCTCAGTTAGTTGGGGACTTCGTTGCTGGGCCCGACTAAGAGCCGGCGGAAGCTGTGCCCTGGTTGCTGGCTCGTCGTGAAACCCTCAGTCTGAAATGGGCTAAAAGCCTCCAGCTTCTGGCGGATTCGGACGTATCGTCTATGCGATAGAGCAGCAAGCGTTTTCGGGATACCGCGGAGGAAGCCAGCACCCGCGACCTCGTCCGAGGCTCCGGATGCCCGATGGTGGTCGCCGGTGCCGTTTGTTGCCTCCACTCGTCACAACGCAGTCTCCAGACTCAAATGGCGGTGTGTTTCTGTTGCTGTAGAATGGCAAAAATGACCCACCGGCTACTCGGATGCAAGACTACAAAAAGTGATCCAAGCATTGAGAGTGGACAGGTGGAGGCCTCGCGATGCTTCCCAGTCAAAGGTGGAGTGAGAACAAGATGAAGTCAAGTGATTGGCTTCGAAATGAAAGGTCCAGTAACACCAAAGTTACAAGAGTGTGCTCGAAACTCA